AATAACAGAAAAGTAGATAAAATAAATGAAAAATAAAAATTAATTCGAAAAAATGCCCCTTAATAAATAAAAATAAATAAAGACATTAATTCTTGTAAAAAGATCGCCAAGCGGTAGGTAAAGAGTCCNCGTCTTACGCAACGCAACACGACATCCAAGTCCATTGGGATCGGGCGGAAATTATTAAACCAACGACAAATTTACATACAATGAAATATCTGGAGAAATTAGAGATCTTTAAAGCACACAAGAAAACGGGATGCATCAACCATAGAGATGCGGACTCTTTACCTACCGCTTGGCGATCTTTTTACAAGAATTAATGTCTTTATTTATTTTTATTTATTAAGGGGCATTTTTTCGAATTAATTTTTATTTTTCATTTATTTTATCTACTTTTCTGTTATTTATATTTTAATTTCATATTTACGTTCTTTTTGTGTTCGATTTTATTCTATGTTATGGTAACTGAAGAAGATCGTTAAGAAACGGTCGAAAACGTTATTATTTTATTAATTTTTATTAGCTGGATTATTAAAGGTGTGTTTTATTATTAGTATATTTATCCAGTTCGTTTGTTATATAAGAATAATTAAGTAGTTAAAATTTTTGATCACTTTTGTTTTAGGTTTTGGAGAACACAGATTCTTTATTGAATTTATACAAATAAAATGTATAAAAAAAAACAAAATAATAGTTTATTCTACAATACCTATCCAGCTTTGACATATTCATAGTTTACACCATTTAACACAGCACTAAATGAATAACAACCTGGAGGAGAATTAAGAAATCAACATTTAGTCTAAAAAAACTTCCAAATTGAATTCTATCAAACTTCTCACTTCAACACTCTTGCAAAATGTTTTACTCTTCCATAAACTGGACAAGTAAATATAAATAACAAACACACTTAACCAAACAAACAACCTTATGTTTCTCCTAGTAGAATGATGGAAAAATTAACACAAACAAATGCTGTTGATCTACTTCTAAGACCTGCTTCCAGTTGTTGAAATTGCTTCAATATTCAAAAATGGGATGCTTGAAAGAAACTTGTATAAATTTAAATTCAAATTTTGACCAATGGGGCATTTCCATTTGTAGCTGATGTAATAAGTCCTTTATAACAATGTGTCATATAAAGCATGTCATACATGGGAAATTGTTTTTTTTCTTTAAAGTTAATACACATTCCCTGCTTTTCTGCTTTAAAAATTTCTAGCACCTCCAATACCTTGAAATGCTTCATTTTGTCCATTTTCATAATTAATGCTGTTTGTTATAAGTCTGTTCGAATATCATTTTTACTAGCATATATCAAAAGGGTAGTAGATTGCCTTTTATTTTTATTTTATTTACTATATCCATAGAACAGAATAATGAAATACAAATCCTATAAACCCCAGATGCCCTTTTTTTATTTATGACATCTTTCCCATCTCTTAGTAGCAAATATATAGTGGAGTTATACCAAACAGCATAACGTAAAGGTGTTTACATTGCTTATAGACATAACCCCACTATATATACACTACTAAAAACTGGAAATGATGCCATAAATGAAGACACCTGGGGTTTACAGCATACTCCAAAAGATGATAGGTTTGACAGATATCTAATTTACGTAAGAGATTTCTTTGTGGCACCTACGTAGGATTAAAAAATAACATAGGCTGTTATTTTTTAATCTCTGATGGTCCATAAAACAAAGACAAGTGTAAATAACAAAATGAATTTATTACCAAAAGTTAGGTATAAACATGGTTACTTTTTGACATAATCACCATGAAGATTGAGGCATTTGTCATATCTGTGGATGAGCTTTTCTATCCTCTTGTCATAGAATGTTGTGTCGATGACTTGAGATGGGTCCTAATGATTTTTTTGAAGATCATCATTAGTCTCGAACCTCTGCCCTCCTAGCCACTTTTTCTGATCAGAAAGAGTGCTCTCAGTGCTAAATTGGGGCTATATGCTATATGTTTAAAGGAGTGAAGACTTCCACCCAGCTTGGAACTTTTTAATGTGTGAAGACTTCCACCTCTTTCCTGAATTGAAAAAAGTGGCTAGCGGGGCAGAGGTTTGAGACTAATGATGATCTTCAAAACAATGTTAGGGGCCATCTCAAGTCATTGGTGCAACATTCTATGACAAGGAGATGTAAAAGCTCACCCACAGACATGACAAATGTCTCAATCTTTATAATGATTATGTTGAAAAGTAACCATGTTTATATCTAACTTTTGGTAATAAATTCATTTTGTTATTTACACTTGTCGTTTCTTTTATGGACCATCGGAGCTTGAAAAAAGCACCCTCATATGTGATTCTTAAAGCAGTGCATAAAAGAGCACAAATATGACATCAACAACATTGCTTCCATTGCTCTGACCACATATGACTCAAATAACAACGTCAAGGCTAATATAGACCATAAGAGTTTGATATGTTATACCAGTCATAGTGACCATATCAGAGATTTAGAAGCCTTGGAGATCTTTAAAGCATGCTAGTTAAGCAACTATAAAGATGAAAAACAAATTTCATGCACACTGATGTATTACTGATGTAAATACTGATATATTTGATCTATCCTCAATATCCCTCGCCCACCCATTTACATGTCTCCTGATTGATTCTTTCATTATTTAATATAATCTATTTGAATTTATCAATATTAATTAAAATTCTACAGACATTTCTTTTGAAATGTTTGCAGAATTTTATATCCATAATGGGACATTTCTTTTGAAATGTTCCATTATAGAATGATTATCTTTAAACCTTCAAACTTGAAGTAGATCTCAGAAGGAAGTTGAAAACTTTCCTGCTTCTTTTAATTTTGTTATTGGATGGAACTTAGGTTTTTTGTGGTGTGTTCAGTGTAACAGAAGAGTCCAGTTCATAGAGGAGTTAACACTTTGTCTTATGAATCATTTCACAAAATTCAAAACATTTGATTCTACAACTATCTAGTATAAAATCCTAACATTATTTATTATTCAAATTTAAACTTTTTATAGTCAAAGAAAACAACGCATTGTTCAAAAGTTGTTGAAAAAAGTAGTTGAAATGTGTTTTATGCTGTAATTTTTCATGTTCAGAGAACTTGATTTCATTTATGATAATACTGATGTATTTTTGTTAATGTTATTGATAGTAATAGTTGATCCTAAATGATTATTTCATTGGAAACATTTTATGTGTTAAAGTATATCAAGTTATTTATCTTTTTTTTATAGGTAAAAAAACAATTTATTCATGAAATTCAAATCAAACATAATAATAATAAATACTTCAGAATATTGTAAAATATGACAAAGACTGCAAAAAAAGTACTTGGAGAGAGACCTCAATATATTCCTATGAGTGTAATTTTTCAATTTACCCATAGCAAGACCACAAATCAGTGAATATCAAAATAAAGGCCTATTACAGACATTCTGACAGGATATTCTATAACATTCCCAATAAATTATCATTTATTTTACTATTAAAGAAACACTTAGAAAGACAAGGATTCCAAAGTATTGAAGAGGTAACAGCAATGTTCCTGAATGTTTAAATAATCAAAGGTCCAAATTTTATTATCAAAACATTTTCAGATACACATTGAGATTGGACAATGCATATAACACTTAGAATGCTGAATAAAAAAATATTTATAACTAGCTGTTACTCGCAGCTTTGCCTATGCGGATTTTGCAAGCAAACCCCATTTATATTCAGTATTTCAACAACCATAATAACTGTTATATAACACCTACAGCTGAGAATGATGAGAATTGCCAAGAATCAAACGAACTATTTTCAATTTGATCAATTTTCTGGAACGTTTATAATCGTTCTATAATCGAACCAATATGCAATAACAAATTCGAATTTAAAACGGTTCAAACATTTTTAAAATCGAAATAGATAAAAATATTTATAACAATGTCTGAAATGTTATCAATTTAATACACCTAAATACTCAATGAAGACTAAATACTCTCTCCCCCTGAGGGGGAGAGAGTATTTAGTCTTCCTCTCCCCCTGAGGGGAATTTCGAAAAATCCATTCTTAGTGTGCATTCCCATGGGATACCCTACTAAAACGCAGATAAAAAAAAATCGCATCTAAAATAGTGCAGTAGAAGCTGTTCTTCCGGTTAAGCCTTAATTAATCCTCTCCCTCTCCCCCGTGGGGGAATTTTAAAAAATCCTTTCTTAGTGTGCGTTTCCATGACGTACCCTAACTGTCTACCAAATTTCACCTCTTTAGGCTAAGCAGTCTGCTCTGGGCAATGATGAATCAGTGAGTAAGTCATTCATTCAGTCAGTCAATCAATCAGGACAAACAATTCTATATATTTAGATTAAGTATTGTAATTATTTTTTCCATTCAGGTTATTTTATTCAATTAAGTATGACAATTATTTTTTTTATCATCTTTTCATATTTATTTCAAAATTATTTCATATTCATTCAAAATCTACATTTATTTAAAATAAACTTTCATGGAAAATTTTTTAGTTACAGTCAAACCCCACTTATCTGTATCCCATACATCCAAATTTCCAAATATTGAATAGTTATTTCTTTTTAAATCTTTATACATTCTATGGAAAAATTATTTTGCACATGCAAATTATTAACATGAAAGTTTATTTTCAATCATTAAAAAGTATTTTTAACATGAAATTTTAGATTTTAATATCAGTACCCGACTAATTTCAATTTATCTGGATTTTCATTAATATGGATTGAGTCTAGTCCCATTTGATCTGGATAAACTTTTTAAAATCATGTTATCTTATGTGTTCAATTTCCAATAAAATTTTGTATTCCAAGTACAGCTTTCTTGGAGATCAAGATAAAAAAGAAATTCCAATTAATAAAAAGGAAAACATTTGAATTATTTCATGTTTTAGTGGTGTTAATTAAATGATGTCATTAAATTGTAATAATTGAAGGAATAGAACAATTTTATTTTATATATAAAATTTTTAAGCATACCTTAATTGTGCTTGTTGCTATAGTTGAACAAGGAGATACTACTGTCCTTAAACAGCGTTCATGGACAATAAAATTACATACTGAAAGAAAAATATTTCATAAATAAATTTTAAATTATTATTGAAATAAAATATGTCAAAATTTTTTATAATAGACCTAACATTGTTTACCTGAATAAAACATTTATAACATTATAACTTTTATTAATAACTGTAAGTCTAAATAATATTTTCAAGAATACCAAAATAATTTTTTGATTATTGTTTTAATAGAACTATTTAAATTTACACACTATATCCACATTTTATAAATTTATATTCCTTAGGTTATTGAGAAAATTCATTAATTTTGTAAATAAAATTTATTTTGAGTAATAAGTTATGTATGATGCAAACTTACAATTTTTCATAAACTTACATTTTATGTCATCTTATTAATATCAAGTTAGATATGCAATTCTTTCCAAGCTTGTTTTCACTGATTTATTGATCAGTAAACCTTATTTCTGATTAAATAAACTTAAATGTTAATTTAACAGCAGAAATCACTCTCAACATGAACACAAACTAATCAATGATTAGTTGTACTCTGAGGATGACTTGTAGAACAGGTGAAAAATTTTTGTGAACAATTAAAATTTTTCTCAGCAAATAATGTGTTGGAACATTTGTTAGTTTTATTTTTTAAAATTTATTTTATAATTTAATTTATTTTATTTAAATTAATATTTTTTAAAGCAAACCAGACTAGGGACTAGTATGTAATTGTGTTAATGAATATTGTTTTGTTAACATTAACTGAGGTTCACAATGAAATTTGCACTAGTTGTAAGCTAACATTGGATGTTAACCATTAAAATTTTTGTCTGGAGACAACTCTAATAAGACTACAATTCACTATTCTTTCAAAAAAAATGAATTGTCTTATCTAGTGAAGTCACTATGTATTGTAAGGGTTAATCCATCCAATAAAATATAAAATCTTGTTTCATTCAACTGATAATAAAAACACACTAAAACATCAAAACACCCTCAAAAACCTGCAAAATGTTTAATAAATGAAAACTTTCAACCTTTTTAAAACACCTTTATTGGGCAAGTACATTGAATCTCAATAAAAAACAAATTTAAACAAACTAATTAGAATCTTACAAAATTTTACTGAATCATGGAGTGCTCTAGTTGGAGCTTCAAACAACATTAAAAAAAATAGTATAACATATGTTATACTATTTGTACTATACTATACTCAAGGGCAGATCTACATAGGGATTAATAGGGCTTAAGCCCTATTAGTCCCTATGTAGATCTGCCCTTGAGTGTCAAGGCCTATGTAGCACTCAAGTGTCAAAGGTCTACAAAGATTGAATTATCATCATAAATTTTTTATACTTTTTTATTAACAATGAGCACTTATTGTATAGTAAAAAATAGTTAATATTAATAACATAATAATAATAATGATAATTTATAGTATTATTTGTATTAAGAAAAAATGGGGTCCCATTGGACTTCAATAAGCCTTAGGCCCTGAAAAACCTAGATCCGCCCCTGACTATACAGTAGAGCCTCGATTATCCGACCCCCGATTAACCGACACCTCGGTTAACCGACCGTCCTAGTCGGCAAATTTCAAATGTCCACTAGTGATGTGGCGCTGCAATATTTGGCTATGTCTTGGCTACTTTAATATTATTTTTACGTGTTTTAGCTGGCAACACTCATTCGACCATGAAAGGGAGCCAGTATTTAAACGAGGCTTCATTTTCTAATTTTTAACAATACAATAGCGATGATTATTATTTTAAAAAATTTTTGTTAGGCTTAACATCGATGAAAATTCAACGCGAAGTAGGTTAATAGCGGTATACTAATATACTAATTACATGGGATATAATAATATACTACACTAATAATGGATTTTTTCATAGTTTTCGGTTATCCGACTTTTCAATTATCTGACCAACCCCAGTCCCCAATTGGGTCGGATAATCCAGGCTTTACTGTACTATTATACTATATTATACTATTTGTTGTATATACATAAGTTGATGTGTGTTATTACAAAAAATAAACCAAAATACTGTAAATAAAATAATTAAATAATGCATCACTTGGAAAGGCTCAATTGTGTCTGTACATCTAGAGTACTTGATACTGAAATTTCTAGGTATTATAATGATGGCCTTTTCAGAAAGGTGAAAATATTCATTAAACATTTTGCTGGTTTTTGAAGGTGTTTTGGTTTCCTTTAATTGTGTATGATGTGTTGAGAATGTTATATTTATGCCAAAAACATTTACAATTAAATATTTCAGGCTACACTTTATATATAGATGATCAAGAGCTTCCATATGTATGAACATTCAGACTTACAATTTGACCACATGACTAAAATTTGAATTTTGCACAGATTCTGAACTCTTCCTGATTGTGGGGTGGCATTGAAGTCAGTTTTGGCCAGTAATAAATAATAAATTTTTTATAAATAATTAATGTGGATTTATTTTTATTGCATATTGTCATTTTTTGTTTTCATGTGAAGTCTAAGATTCCATTGTTGCCTATGAATTGGTGTCAAAGTCAATAATGTTGAAGTAATGGCATATTTTGCTATTGTTTGAAATTTTTATAAACTTTTATTATTAATGCTTCAAAAATGCTTCCAAAATGTAATAGTAAATCTAACGGTGGTAATAAATGCAAGGAGTGTCACTTTATTACCATGACATTTTAAAACTAAGTGTGTTAGGTGAAAAACTGCATTTGAAACACCTACTACTAAGCAGTAGTGAGCAGGTAAATGAGCATAATGTATTCTACTAAGTATATTAAAGGATCAAACACTAACAATAAATATTCTGTGTACAAATGTACTTTCTAGGTCAGTTTTGACTTACAAACATGTTGACTTATCGCAAACCTAACCTGTTCATAAGTAGAGGAGCACCTGTATTTTAATCTTAAAATTAATGAAGTTAATGTTATTACTAATATTCATCAGTTCAAAAATTTATTATTATTATTATGTTGGGTTTTGTGAGTTATACTTGGTTGACATTGGTGGCAGTATACCCAAAACAAAACAAAAAAATTAAAAACTGTATCAGTGCATGTGTTTGTATTCAGGAATTTCCTAACGATATGACATGTATTCAATATAATGGCCTTCTGTAGTGTGATGTATGTGTTTCTATTCAATTGTAATGTGCCCAAGATTTTGTGTAGTGTGTGTGGTATGACACCTGTAGAAAGAACAACAGGTACAATAAGAACCCTATCCACCCTCCACAGTTCCCTGGGCAAGTTCTGTGTACTTACTGACTTTTTCAGTGCATGTGTTTTGTATATTGTGAGTGTTTGGAATGGCTATGTCTATAATGTATGTGATTTTATTGTGTTTGTCAATAAGTGTAATGTCTGGTATGTTGTGGTAATTTGTTTTATCTGTGATTATGGCTCTGTCGTAGTACATTTTGTGCATGTTGTTTTCCAATACTGTCTGTGGAATGTATTTGTAGTATGGTTCGTGGATATCTAATAATTTGTGTTTGTTTGCAAGTTCTTGGTGTATTATATTTGCTACTTGATTATGTCTGTGTAAATAATCTGTCTGTGCCAAAAGCTTGCAACCAGAAATAATGTGTTGTATAGTTTCTAGCACGATGTGACATTTTCTGCATTTGTCAATTGTGAGTGTTGTAATAAGCAGTAAAACTCAGTGTTTTTCATTTGAGTGCTTTCAACGAATGTATTTCCATCGTCTTCAGGTGAATAAAATACTTTTATATCGAACATGAATGTTCAAGACAGAGAAGAACACATACAAATTTAAATAAAACGATTTTTTGGATGGCATTCGATATGAATCCGCTACGTTTTTGAAATACGTACGATGTTATGTATGTGATGTAATACAGTGCATACATGATACTGCTTTCCATCAGTGATGTGACATATGATGTAAATCACCATTTAATCGTTTGTATAGAGCGATCCATATATTGGGCAGTTCCAGATGTGTTACACATTTCCAACGTTGTTATATATAGTGACTCCCATATAAAGAGTAGTCTTCAGTCGTTTCATGTCCTGAGTATAGTAGAATGTGCCCATAACGGGTTATAACTCCTGTCGCGTACTCTTCTTGCGAGTTCAGTGCTGCATCTTCCTTTTGCTATATCATCCTGGTATTCGGTCAAGCGGGTAGCCAACATTCTTGCCGTGGCCCTAATGTATCTCGTACTATTTCCCGTTACGGGATTTTCTAATGGAACCACATAAATTCTTGACTTCTCAAAGATGGAGAACTTGTCTCGGTGAGTGTCCAGGAGAGCTTAGATATAGCCACTGTGCCAAGCAGCACCGTTTCGCTGACTGCCAGCGCCTCAACAAGTCTCCATGTTGTACTAATTGCAAAGCCGCTAATAAGGTTCAACCAGAAGGCAAGCAGCTGAAAACTGACCACAATGCTTTTGATCCAGCATGCCCAATTACCAACAGAATCAAGTCTAACACGGTCAGCCAAACTAATTATGGCCTTTAATTTCCACAACATTATCACTCAGTCAAATCATAACAACCTTAAAATTATGCAGATCAATCTCCAAAGGGGCCCCTCCTCCTTAGTCATCAAAACTGCAGCAGACTGGCACTCAGACATCATTGTGGTCCAGGAACCGTACCTTTTTAACGGCTACCTTACACATTACAGCGGCTGGAATATTATCCCTACCAGAGGCTTTAAAACGGCCATCCTTATAAGAGATACTAGCCTAACTGCTCAGTTCATGCCACATCTCTCAACTCGCTATGTTACAACCGGTACGGTGCACGCTCAGAACATGGTCATCTATATTTCTTCTATCTACTGCTCGCCGTTTGAAAACATTGAGCCTTTGTTAGAGGACCTTGACAACATCAATAACAAAATTACTGACCATCCATGGCTTATCTGTGGTGATTCCAATGCTAAATGTTTCCTATGTCATAGTCCCATAGAAGATCCGAGGGGCTATCACATGCTTGAACTTATAGCGGCTCTTCAACTGACATCCTGCAACACCAGTCCTCTCCCCACT